GACCACCCTTAACCCTGCACGGGCTCTTGGGAGTTAAGGTCCCTGTTAATGGATAGATTGACTTCAACCACGTTGCAGGCTGTCAGTTGTAAAAAATGTGGCCTGGGTCCAAGCGAAACGGAAGCCCTTCAGCGAGGTTGACTCTTCAAGGGACAGCAGGTGACGTCACTGAGAGCAGGCACCAGCGCCATCATCTGCCAGGCTGCCCGGTGCCGCCGCCAGCCCGCTGCTGTCTCCTTAAAAGGGTGTTTTAGAGAGAAAGTGGAGTCAGCCGGTCTTTCCTGTTGGTGGAGCTCAAACGCCCACTCAAAGCCCTTGGGTCAGTTTCCGAGTTGGTGAAAAAATAATTCTTCATTTTCCAGCTCCTAGCATTTAATGACCTCTGACGAATACTGTGTGTGTGTGTGTGGGGGGGGGTGTGTGCACCCCAATGACTTATCAAAGCCATAACCTGGCCTTTTACATTCATTTCCAACCACACTGGCAACCACACAGAGAGAAAGAGGTGAATTTACACCCCGAATCCGCATTGCTGCAGACGTGTTCGACCCTCCTGGGGCAGGCTGAGGTTGTGCAGGCTCCAGATCTGGCCTAGAGTTCATGTCAGGCCCCCAAGATTTTGCTGTTTGCAAAGGTGTCACTATGAAATGCTTACTGTTTAATTGTCTCAACAAACTTGAGGCCTCGTGACCCTGGGGGACGTTCTTGGTAAGGATCTGAGAGCTCCCAGGGGTACCAAGCCCGTGGGAGGGAACTGCTGTGGGAGTAGCGCTCGAAAAACCCAGCGTGCAAGATCGGACGGCACCTCCCCTGCAGGGAGCCCCATTAAGTCTCCTCTGATCCCCTGCCAGCACCCCCACGGGAGCCGTTCTCTGGGCTCCGCTAATCAACCTTTGTGAATTCCGAATCTTGTCCCAGTTCACAGTGAACTGTTCACTGACTGGCCGTGTATGACCTGTCAGCCCCAAACTTCACAGTGAGACGCCCCACCACTGGGCGGGACCTGTTTCTTACGTTGGTTTTAAGGACTGACACACACCTTGCCAAAGAGCCTGCTTGATGCCTGAACTCTTCTCTAATTTTTTTTAAAATACATTTTTCTTGATTTCAGAGAGGAAGGGAGAGAGAGAGAGACACATCAATGATGCGAGAGAATCATGGACCGGCTGCCTCCTGCACGCCCCACACTGGGGATCGACCCCGCAACCCGGGCACCTGCCCTGACCGGGAATCGAACCGTGGCCTCCTGGTTCATAGGTCGACGCTCATCCTCTGAGCCCCGCCGGCCAGGCCCAGGCCCTTCCTTTCCATCTGAACTGTCCGTAGCGTCCTGTCTACACTCACATCAGATGGGCTCTTGATGGCCACGGACAGGCTGCTGTGCCGGAAGCAGTAAGGTCTGATCCACAAAGCCCGTCCCCCTTTCTTGCAGAATGAGAGCTCCGGGGGGCAGAGCGTCGTGGGCAGGTCTCCGGTCCAGCGGGTCAGACCGCGGGCCCGCGAGCAAACCAGCCCCTGCTTGCCCGCATCCCAACCCCGATCCTCTGCACGTTACCCATCAGCCTTGGCAGCTTTTCGTGCCAAGCACAGCCCGCCAGGGGGTGGAGGATTGCACAATTCTTTAAAGGCCTTTACACACACCCCGAAAACTGGAATATCCACTCCACGCACAGGGTTGAAAATGAGTGGTAGCTGATAATGCCAGAAAGCTTATTTTTAAAAAATTTATGGCCACCTTATAATGTCTTTGTCTTTATCTGTGTTTTCTTCACCCACAGGGCTGCCTCTGAAGTGGTGCCAACATCCCGAGGGGTGTGCAGGGGGTGGACGAGCCAGGGCTGAGCTGAGCAGAGCCCAGCCCAGCCCAGAGGGTGGGCAGCGTCCCCACTGGGTGCCTACAACATGCCCGGGTTGTGGGCTCCATCCCCAGTAGGGGGCGTGCAGGAGGCAGCCAATCAATGATTCTCTCCCTCTCCCTACGTGACCTTGACGGTTCCCCTCACAAGGACATGTGTTTGGTCCCAGAGCATGACATGTCTTCCCCGCTGTCCTGTAGTGAATGCTCCCCGTGTAATTCGATCACCACCACGCTTATTAGCCGCTGGAGAACAGAATGTGAATGAATAACCTTGACAACATAAAAATAAGAGTACCACCACCCAGAGCTGGGGAGGAGAGGGAAGGGAAGTATGGGAGATAACGTCTTCATCGTACCTAATGACAGAAAAGAGAGACTATTAAGAAGTAGAGGTTTTAGCCCTAACCGGTTTGGCTCAGTGGATAGAGCGTCGGCCTGCGGACTGAAGGGTCCCAGGTTCGATTCCGGTCAAGGGCATGTACCTTGGCTGCGGGCACATCCCCAGTAGGGGGCGTGCAGGAGGCAGCTGATGGATGTTTCTCGCCCACCGATGTTTCTAACTCTATCCCTCTCCCTTCCTCTCTGTAAAAAAATCAATAAAACATATTTAAAATAAATAAATAATAAAAATAAAATAAAAAATTCAAAAAAAGGAAGGCAGGGCCTAGAGGCCCGAGGTGTCCCGGCCCCCGGCTGACCTGCGCTGTCCTGTTTGTTCCGCAGACGTCAGCAAGGTCGTCAGCAAGGCCGAGTCCTGCCGGGAGGACTGCACCTGCTCCGCCTGCTCGCTCCGGGCCCCCACCATCAGCGACCTGCTCAACGACCAGGACTTGCTCGACGTGATCAGGATCAAGCTGGACCCCTGCCACCCCACCATCAAGAACTGGAGGAATTTTGCCAGCAGGTGGGGCATGCGCCACGACGAGCTGTGCTTCCTGGAGCAGCGGCCCCAGAGCCCCACCCTGGAGTTCCTGCTCCGCAACAGCCAGCGGCCGGTGGGCCAGCTCATGGAGCTCTGCCGGCTCTACCACCGCGCCGACGTGGAGCGGGTGCTGCGCAGGTGGGTGGACGAGGAGTGGCCCAAGAGGGCACGCGGAGACCACCCCAGGAACTTCTAGGCCTCTGCTCCTCGCCTTGGCCAATTTGGACCTTGAAACAGCCCCAGACCAGGGAGCAATGTGAATCTGTTCTTTTATTTTTTTAATAATATATTTTTATTGATTTCAGAGAGGAAGGGAGAGGGAGAGAGAAACATCAATGATGAGAGAGAATCAGGGATCGGCTGCCTCCTGCACGCCCCCTACTAGGGATGGAGCCCGCAACCCGGGCGTGTGCCCTGACTGGGAATCGAACCATGACCTCCTGGTTCATAGGTTGACGCTCAACCACTGAGGCACGCCAGCCGGGCTGTGTTGCTCATTTTGGAGCCATTCACTCATTTCTCGAGTCAGATTCCCTCTGGATGCCCACGGCTTTCTCTCTCCCAGCCTCAGGCCAACATCTGCTTCCATTTTTCACCGACAGATGCAGAGTCAATGTGTGGGCTTGCCTTTCATAGTTAATAACACTTCGGTTTTCTACCCTTGTCCCCGAAACTACACAATGACATGGGCCCAAAGAATTGATGAGGTCGTTCTCTTTGCTCTGTGGGGGTTCGAGCTCCCTCCAGCCCCCCCAACCCTGTGCACGCCCTATAAACGCAGGGAGGCAGGTCTCTCTCCCCTTGTGTTTAGAGAGCATCGAGGCGGAGATGCTAAGCCACCTGCTGGGTCTGTAGGAGCTCCAGGTGAGTGGGTGCCGCACCTGGTAGTACCACTAGGGGGAGCGCCTGGAGGGACTCACCACTAAATGACTCAGCCTAGATGCCTCCCAGAAATGAACCCTACATTTGCATTGAGGGGCAGCCTGACAGGGCTGCTTCCCACCCCTTTTGGAAATGGAGAAGGGGGTGGCTCCCCACGGCTCCCTAAGCCGAGCCGTGTTCTTCTGTTGTCTGTGACACCCGGCCGCCATCTTCCGTGGAGGCCTGACGCGTCTTCCGCCATCACAGGCAATGCTTTGAAACGACTGGATTTTGGTGAGACTCTGTGTTGATCTACCTGAAGGGTGTACTTGTGAAGCCGCCTTCCTTTTGGTCTCCTGTTTCAACACGCGTTTATATGTTTCTTAGAAATAAAAGATTATTTTTACCTAGCATAATGGGTGCTACAAAATTAAAGGTGGATGCCAACCACTATCTCTAATGGGTGCTTCTATGTGGATTCCAACATCGTCGTCGCTTCTGTTGGTCCGTCAGAAGGCTAGTGAGTGTCTGAAATGTGGCCTGGACACTAAGGGGGCAACGATAAGCAACACCTTCCATGGCCCTGGTCAGTTTGGCTCTGTGGATAGAGCGTCCGTGCCTGGACCGGAGGGTCTGGAGTTTGATTCCGGTCAAGGGCACATACCTCGGCGGCAGGCTAGACCCGGCCCGGGTCTGGGGTGCGTGGGGGAGGCAACCAATCGATGTGTCTCTCTCACATCGATGTTTCTGTCTCTCCTCCTCCCTTCCACTCTCTGAAAACCAATGTCCTGTGGTGAGGACAATAGGACAGCATGAGCCACTGGGATGAATTAATTTCATTTGCACGCTGGAGATCTCTCCCATCTCCAAGATTCTTTTATTTTATGACAAAACCACAGTTCTAGAAGCTTGATTCCCACACCCGAGAAGACTAGGTTTGGGACATGATCCTGTAGAACATAAGAGGTAAGCCTGGTGAGTCCGAACACAGGGGGTCTAAGGCCAAAAAGAGATTGAGTACACGGGTGGTTGAGGGTACACAGGTGGTTGAAGGTACACGGGTGGTTTTGTGTACTTGTGTGGTGCTGGTGTTGGATGTGGGAGAGGATCATTCACATGAGCACAGTCAGTAGTGTGCTGGTAAGTGTTTAACATCTGGCTTGGGGATGGGATGGGGTGGGGTGGGGAGGGAGCCCTGTTGTAGCAGTGGTCCATTTCCATGGTGTAAATGCTCCCATCTGGCCAATGTCAAGGTGCATCATTGGCTCTCACGGGTGGTCTGAGGCAGCTCTAACACTCCACTGACCCTGATTTCCAAGTAAGGTCACAAACCATTGGTGGGACTTGCACACTCCTTAGGGGGTTATAAGCAGCATTTTTTTTAATGAAAAAAAAAAGAACGCTTCACACATAATGAGAGGATTGTTTTGCGAAATTTCAGTTTCCATCATCTTAAGTGTGTATGTAACAAGTCACAATGTAAATGCAGTCCTTCTTGTGGCTTGCTTGGAAAAACTCTAAAAGGCACCGCGGTGGTATCTTCTGTCTTTAAAAGGAACAAAAAATAAAGACAAAATAAAATTTAAAAAATCTTCCCTTTGAGTCCACACTCTGTTCCTCTCCATAGCAAACCTTGGTGAACGATTTAGTCATCATTATTTCCACTGCTGCTTCCTCTCTCATTTCTGAACGCAGTAGGTCGGTCACAGATGACTTCCAGGCTTCTAAGTCCGCTGGTTACTTCTATTTTTATTACTTTTCAATCCTCACCCGAGGATATTTTTCCCATTGATTTTTAGAGGTACGTGTGCTTTTGACCGGAATCGAACCCGGGACCCTCTGGTCCACCGGCCGATGCTCTACCCCCTGAGCCCCTGGCTAGGGCTGTGGGCTCCTCCTCTGTTCCGTGCCTTCCAGCAGCATTTGTCACGATGGGCAGTGCTCTCTCTAGACTTTCCTTCTTTGCCTTCGGACACTGCTGGGGTCCAGCCCCAGCGGTCCAGGGGTTCCCAAAGGTGTGGACGGAGTCGTCAAAGAATGTTTTACACGGAGACAGAGTTCAGAACTCTCTAGCTCTCTTTAGTCTCCGTGGATCTTCCTGTGCCTGGCTGAGGCCACAGAGAAAGATCCTGAGGCAAGCTGAGCCTTTATTTTATAGTCAGAGGTAAACAAGGTAGTGGTTACCATAGTTACACTGTTCTTGTGAGTTTTACTTGTTTTTGTTCTTATTTTTGCTGCACTTCCCTCAGTCCATTAGCTTCCCAGGTAAGATCTAGGGAGCGTCATAAGGTCAAGCCTAATTATGCTTAAGAGGACTGTGCCCTCTAAGCTGGGACTTGTTTGTGACTTTGCCAACAGGTCGGTCCAAGGCTTAACCCTATAGCGGCTCCCCACAGGACACCTCTGGGCAGGTCTCCGGGGCTGCCTTCCTCCGCCTCCTGGTTCTTTCTCTCCTGGGCTTCTGTCCTGGGTCCGTGGTCCAGTAGCTACTGTCCCCGTGACCCCATCGCGTCCAGGGCCTCCTTCCCCCCGTTTTCCTCTCTCCCGCGGCACCAAACGCTTGTCGGGAGCCTCAGGCTCTTTGCACGAATGGCTCCCGCGTTCTCCCCCCAAATCTGCATCCGCCCCCTCCTCTCACTCACCTTCACCTTCACCTTGACCTTGACCTTCACCTTCACCTGCACCTTCACCTCCTCCCGAGGCTTCCGGGCAGCGGCCAAAGTCGCCCCAGATGCTCCCCTTGCAACACCCCGTCTCCAGGGCGGCGTGACCCCAGACTCCGCCCCGTTCTCATCCCATCCACCCCCGGCCGCTGGGCAGAACCGGAAACAGCGGCGGACTGAGCGCCGGGGCGGCCCGTAGCCGCG